TGGGCAGCACCTTCCAATTCCTAACAACCCCTTCCATAAAAAAATTCCTCCTGGTGTCCAACCTGAACCTTTCCTGCCACATTCTGTCTTGTCCTGTTGTTGCCTGACACCCCCTCAGCTGCCCCCTCCTGTCAAGGAGTTGTGCAGAGCCAGAAAATTCCCCCTGAACCTCTTTTTCCCCAGCTGTTCCCAGCTCTGGACACACTCCAGCCCCTCAATATCTCCCTGGCTGTGAGGGTCCAGAGCTGCACACAACCTCACAGTGCCCAGCACAGGGGGACAATCCCTGCCCTGCTCCCGTGCCCACACTGTTTTTGATAGGATTTTTGATCTTTAAATCTGGGTAGAAGCTGCCCAAGCAGGAAGGTGTTAATGGTTGTTTTGGTGACCAGAGCAGCCTGACATCACTTCCTGTGAAGTTGTTATAAATAAATGCTTGTGCTTTGGAGAAGAAAATTGGCAGCAGATCCGTGTGTGTAACCAAATTGCAGCATATTCACATGTTGTGTTTTGTTGCTCAGTTCAAATGCTCCTAATGAGCTTTACTCAGTCTCCTGACTCTGGCAGGAGCAGAGCAGCAGATGCTCAGTGAGACACAAACTGTTGTGCATCTGGCCTGGCACCTCCAGTCAGAGCTGGGCACAGCTGATCTGAAATGTGTTTCTGCATCTCTTTAAGGATTTTGAACACAACCCTGTTTGAAAGCTGGGAGTTGATCGGTCCCTACCCTTCCTGGTGGCTGTTCAACGGGCTCCTGGTGACCTTGCAGGTCTTGCACGTCATCTGGTCTTACCTCATCATCCGCACGGCCTCCAAGGCCCTGGTGCGGGGCAAGGTAAGGCTGAGGGAGGCTTCTGGGTCCTCTTTCCTACAAGCCCCATTAAGGAATCGTGAGAAATTGGGCTTTTCAGTGAGGGCTGGTGATGGTTCTTAAGGGACTTGTGTCAGGAGTTCACAAAAATGGCATTTTTTTTACCTTGGTTGCTCAGCACTTGTGAGTTCCTGGGTGTGTTCAAAGGCAGGGAGTCTCTCCTGGGCATGCAGGGAAATAACTCCATTTTCCAGTACATTCAAATGTCCTAAAATGGCAATTGTGACACTCTTGTTGTGTACTCTGGAGTTTAAGGTGGTAGCAGGCTCTCTTTTGGACAACAGGATGAACAGAAATTGGACATTTCCCAACAGGATGTTTCCCAACTTGAGCTGGTCCTTGGGAATTGTGCATCTTCCTGGCTTCTGTCTGCCAGTGCAGGCACTGAGCTCCAGCACTCAGGGAAAGGGATGCAGTGGGGTTTGTTTGCTGTCAAAAATCACAGAATGGCCTGGGTTGGAAGGGACCTTAAAGATCATCCAGTTCAAGGACAGGGCTTGGAGCAACCTGGGATAGTGGAAGGTGTCCCTGCCCATGGCAGGGGGTGGAGCTTTAAGGTCCTTCCAACCCAAACCCTTCCATGATTCTATGAAACCAGCGAAAAAGCTGATTTAGTAGCAAAAATGCTTTTTCCTATTACATATTGATGTTCTGATCTGAGTTTCTCTGATGGCTCTGCATTATTTTGTGTTTGACTTTAGCTGCCCCTACACATGAAACATGAAAATGATAAATAGTCTGGTTGACTCTGGGGGCAAGCTGGTTTCAGGGTATGAGCTCTTCATCTGTTCCCCACAGCTGCTACTACAAATGCCTGATTTTCATTCTCTGCAGCTGTTTCTGTATCCTGAGTTCTACACCTTTTCCCTTTCCTTGGTTCTCTCCTGTCCAGGTGACCTAGCCAGAGAAAGGACTCTAAGCTCTGTCTTCTTCATTCTTTTCTCCTTTTCTCTGTGCCAGATTGGAGCTGGACAGTTTCACCCTGTGCATGTAAGTGTGACCTGTGGTTCTGTTTGTTCACTGAAACACGTCTGTGTCAAGGCCAAGACAAGCAGAGCCCTGGTCTTGGGGCTTTGGTGCCTTCTCCTTCTCTCCCTGGTCCTGACAGGTGCTAAAATACTGTTTTTTCCAAAGGTCAGAGCAATGTCCTGGGGTCTGTTCTTACCTGCTGTCACCTGCCTGCACATCCTTCACTTTCTGCTTTTACACACCCACACACTCCAATTTCTGTCTTTGCTCCTCATCAGCCTTGCACAGAGGGGGAGAGGGCAGGAGGAATTTACTCCTTTTTGTGAAAAGGGGTGAAACGGTCACTTCTCCCCCAAGCATGGAAAAAAATGTCAAGGGATTTCTGCTTCCTTCCAGTGACCCTTTGAACTTCCAGTACAGCAGGAGATTGGGGAAAGATAGCTAAAGTTCTGGTAACAGGCAGAAGCCAGGACATCCAAAAAGTTCTTGGAGATCATTAACTTCACCTGGCTTCCAGCCAGATCTTCCCTGGAGTTCAACCACTTCCTGCTGCTGAAGAGCCCTAACCCTGCCTCCAAGAGAGCAGAGTAGAATGAAATCCTGGAATCCTTGGAAAGCTGCAAGGCAGAGCTCTGGCACATGGAGTTACTGAGGGCTGTTGGCTGCAGAGGGAGGGGAGTGAGGACAGTGAGAGTTGGGCAGAGCAGGGGCCGCTCTCCAGGCCCAGCTCACGCTGGGGAGGTTTGGCTCTGGCACCTGCCACCACCCAAGGTGTGTGTTTGCAGTTGGGGCCGGGTTTATGGGCTCTTCCCTTCCCCTTCTGGCTCTGCAGGGCTGCCCTGGGAGCAGCTGGCACCACGCTCCTCCTGGGAAGGTTCAAAATCCCACATGCAAGTCAAATGGAGCTGAATTTGCAGCCAGTCTCTGAACTCTGATCTGCAAGCAGATCTGGATCCCTGGGCTGAGGCTCCTCCTGTTCTGAGCGGGTGTTTGCTGGATCAGACACTGCCTTTGTTCTCCATCCCCTGTCCATGTCCTGCTCCTAAATGGGACCTCCCAGATGAAGCACAGGCTGTGGAAATGGAGGTGCTTTGTTCGAGCAGTGATGTGATAAATAAAGCTGGTTAATTTTTAAAATAGCAGAGCTGCTCCCTGTAGGACAAAATGTTCTCTCTCAAACTGACACACATTCCTGGTTTTTGGTTGTCAAACCCACTTGTGATCGTGGCATGAGAAATTTTTGATTCAAAACAAATTGTTTAGAAAATGGCCTTCCAACGGATCTAGAGAGGAGCTCATGAATGATGAGAACAATGCCAGATCTGTAATATCATCTGATCTGGTGAGAACAAGAGTGAAGTGCTTTCACAGATATACAGAATATTTGCAAAATGGAGCTCATCTTTCCAAACTGTCTCTTTCAGTGTCTGTGTCTTGTTCCCAGTGTGATGACAGGCTCCTTCTTGGGAGTTTGAACTGAGCCAGACTCAAATGTAGGAGGCAGATGTGAGTGAAGGTGATTCATCACATGGACACAACCTTCTAACTGCTGCTTTCTGTCAATTTTTCAACTCCCCTTTCTCCTCTCCCACTGCCCAATTCCACTGGCGATGTTTAGGTATCCAAGGATGACCGCAGTGACGTGGAGAGCAGCTCCGAGGAGGAGGATGTGACCTCCAACAGCACAAAAGGAATTTTCAGCACTTCCAGTAACGGTTCCAACCGCCTGAACGGCCACGTGGCCGGCGGCCAGTGGACAGGAGAGGAGTAAGGCCCTGGGCTGGCCTTGAGCAAACACGAACTTCTCTTTCAATATCTAGTTGTGTTGAGTTCCACATTCCCAAGTGATCTTTAATCAAAAACCCTTCCCCAGAAACCTCCAGCAGACCCGAAACGGGCACAACCCTGACCAGTCAGAGGCTTTGCATGGCACAAGGGATGAAGCCAACGACCGGGGCAAAAAAAAAAGCTGCAGATTTCACTTCAAGCCATTTTGTACTTCAGAAGTACAAGAGAACGCCCCTGAGTCCTGTTGATATTTGCAGAGGTGTCTTTCTTTGTGACAAACTGGCTTTTACTGGGATCAACTCGAGGCAGAGCAGGTTTGGACCGCGGGGTTCGGTGCCACTTGGTGACGGTTCGCTCCCGGCAGGTGCAGCAGCTCTTGATGCACTCCAGAAGCCACTTCAGAGCACAGAGAACGCAGGTTCCGTGTCCCAGCTGCCCTGGGTGAGGCAGAGACTCTGCTCCCAGACGAGCTTTGAACTGTGCTAACCCAGAACCACTGCTCTGCCTCGCCCCAGGGTGCTGGGGAGGTCCAGCAGCTCATCTCTGCTGTCACCAGGGACCAGGCCAGCGTCTGCTGCCTCTTTTGGTGCTGCAAACCCCTCTGAAGTCTTGACCAAAGCCTTCTGCAAGGGGGTTGGGGGAGTGGTTTATTGCCCCTGAGACAACCAGCATAATCCAGGCCTTTTAAATTGTTTTCTTCCTGTTGCAAATTGTGGTTTTGAAGACTTCTCTAGACCTACTGGATTCAGTTGGCTAAGCTGGCATCAGAGGGAGGATCAGAACTGGTGGGCTGGGTTTAACTCTCCAGAAAATGAGATGTTTTGGTCCTGTACTCTGAGACAAGTGATTGTTGCTGCTCTGATGTTAGAGCTGTGGAGGAACCCAGGGCTGGAAGAGCAGCCACACTGTGGGCTTTGCTTCTCTTTTTTTTACTCAATGGTACTTGGGGGCAATGGAACAGTCAAATCAGGAGCAGAATTTTGGAAACTTCTCGAGTTGTTACCATTTTATACTGTTGTTTACTCTTATCTCCAATTAAAAGTTGCTTCAGAAACTCAGGGTGATGTGTTTCATCTTGAGGAAATAGAACAGAGGACAGCGTGTGTCCCTTGGCTGTCCCTTGGCTGCTGCCAGGAGCACAGAAAAAACAACTTTTTGGAAGAACACCATAAAATTGATGGACTTGTGGAAGGCATCCCTGCCCATGGGGGTGGAACCTTTAAGGTCCCTCCCAGCCCAGTCTGTGGTTTGGGGGACACCACACACCACCACACAGACCACTTTCACACGGGCTTTATTGCACTCCATCTGCCTCCCCCAGCCCAGGGGGGACCGGGAAGGTGGGGCTGGTCCAGCGTGGGCTCAGTCCCAGCTCCCGGGGCCAGTCCCAGCTCCCGGGGCCAGTCCCAGCTCCCGGGGCCAGTCCCAGCTCCTGGGGCCAGTCCCAGCTCCCAGTGCAGGCTCAGCTCTCGGGGCCAGGCGCGTTCTCCCGCTCACGGCGGTGCTGGAGCATCCTCTGGACGCGGACACTGCACAGGTACCCGGCGTACACCGTCAGCAGCATCATGGAGCCCGAGAATGCCTTGTAGCCAAAGTCTGCCAGCTGCTTTTTGGACACCATGGCTGCACCTGCGAGAGAGACACAGAATCCCAGGATAGTCAGGGTTGGAAGGAACCTTTGGAGAACATCTAGCCCAATCCCCTGTGTCCAGGCAGGGTCACCCAGAGCAGGTGACGCTGGAACATGTCCAGGTGGGCTTAGGGTATCTGCAGAAGGGGAGACTCCCATGACTCTGTGGAGCTCTTCCAATGCTCTGCCCCCCTCCATGGAAAGTTCTTCCTCATGTTGAGGTGCAACTTCTTGTGGTTTAGTTTCTGACTTTTGCTCCTCGTCCTGTTTCTGGGCATCACCAGAAGAGGCTGGTATCATCCTCTGACCTCTTGGAAATATTTTAATGTATTAATAAGATCCCGTCTCGGTCTTCTCTCCAGACTAACGCAGCCCAGCTCCCAGAGTCCCTCCTCAGAGAGATGCTCCAGATCCCTCAACATCTTTGTGGCCTGCACTGGACCATGTGCAGCAGCTCCTTGTCTGTCCTGTTGTGAGGAGCCCAGAACTGGGCAGATCGCTCTGGATGTGCCTCTCTAAGGCCAAGGGGCAGGATCCCCTCCCTGACCTGCTGGCCACGCTCTTCTTGATGGATCCCAGGATCCCATTGCTACTTGGGGCTATTCCTCCACAGGTGCACGATCCTTGCTAGCCTCATTAGATTATTCTAATTAATCATTAGGTTTCTCTTTGGCCAGTTCTCCATGATGGGGCCCTGCTGAATGGCAGCACATCCTTAGGGTGGATCAGCCCCACATTTCGTATCTTCAGCAGCCCCGCTCAGGGTACAAACAATCCTTTCATCCAGGTCGGTGATGAACACGGTGAATGAGCCCAGGCCCAGCAGCGGTCCCTGGTGAAATCACTGACTACCGGCCCGCAGGAAGGCGGCGGTGAGCGGGGCCGGGGGCGTGGATTCGCCCGGGGTCCCGTCCATCATCCCGTCCCTCCGGACTGACCGCTCCCATCCCGTCCCGTCCCGTCCCGTCCCGTCCCGTCCCGTCCCGTCCCGTCCCGTCCCGTCCCTCCGGACTCACCGCTCCCGTCCCGCTCCGCCGCGCTGCCGGCCCGCGTCACGTGGCGCTGGGCGGTCACGTGTGCCGCTGTC